TCAGGGGACCCTAATCGCGTTTGGGGACAGATGGCCGCGGTTTAAGGAGCCTCCGGGGACACGTTTGGGGTGTCCCCCCTCCCCAAACCCCCCCAACCCCACGTGCCCACCCCAAACCTGAGCAGGGCAGAGCACGGCGTGACCCCACACCCCAAAAAATCCCTTAAAAACCCCCCAAAAATACCCCGAATCCCGATGTGACCGTGGGGACAGAAGCCAGCCCGACCCCCCCCCGGCAGCGCGACCCCCCCGGAGGGCACGGCCGAGGGGAGGGGGATTAATCTGTGTCATAATCTGCCTTGTTCGGGCCGCGAGCGCGGCTTTGGGGCTTTATCCCGGGATTTGTGGCCGAGTCGCCGTTCTTAGCGAGACGCCCTAATGCCACTTAACACCTGGGAGCCGCGATTTTCATTAGCGGCGTCAGGGACAATTAGTAAAGGAATAATTAGGGCAGGGACAGCCGCTGAAGGGTTTAAGCCCCATATGTGCCTGAGTGTGCGGGGAGGGGATTGGGGGACCCCCGGTTTGGGGGAGGGGGATCGGTCCAAATTTGGGCCGTGCCTCAGTTTCCCCCCCGTGGGAAAACATCTGTTAATGAAGGCAAAGGGTGGGGGTCGGTGTCCCCTCCCAGTGGGGGGACAGCGGGTGCCATGGTGGGGGTGACAACACGGGGGGGACACGGGATGGGGACCCCGGGAATGAGCCCTGTCCTGGGGACACAGGGGACACACACAGGGGTGACCTCGGGGCAGGTGCCACCCCCCGAGCTGTCCCCAGGGTGGGGGGCTCACAGGAAGGGGGCTCGGGGCAGGGGGAGCCGCCCCCAGCCCCAGCGCGGCCGCTCGGGCGGGGGGCACAGGGGGGAGACCCCGGGCAGGGCCAGGGGGGGCCCGGGGGGGCCCGGGGGGCAGCAGGGGCAGCAGCAGCCCAGGCCGTACAGGGCGTAGGGGTGCAGGTAGCCGACGTTCACCCTGCCGGGGAAACAGAGCGGGGTCAGCGCCGAGACCCCTCCTGGTGTCCCCAGAGCCCCCCAGGGGTCACTCAGGGCTGAGGGAACACTCAGGGCTGAGGGGTCACTCAGGGCTGAGGGGTCAATCAGGGCTGAGGGAACACTCAGTCCTGAGGGGTCACTCAGGCCCACAGGGGTCACTCAGGCCCACAGGGGTTCCTCAGTCAGGCCCAGAGGGGTCACTCAGGCCCACAGGGGTCACTCAGGGCTGAGGGGTCAATCAGGGCTGAGGGAACACTCAGTCCTGAGGGGTCACTCAGGCCCAGAGGGGTCACTCAGGTCTGAGGGGTCAATCAGGCCCACAGGGGTCCCTCACTCATGTCCAGAGGGGTCAGTCAGGCCCAGAGGGGTCACTCAGGTATCACTCTTGTCCAGAGGGGTCACTCAGTCCGGAGGGGTCACTCAGGCCCGGAAGGGTCACTCCAGCTGACCCCCGGCCCCACCGTGCCCACCCCATTCCCGGCCCGGGCTCCGGCCGCCGGCACAGCCGCTCTCCCGGGGGATCGGGGGCAGGCAGCACCAGCAGGCTCCGGAACGAGCCCGGCCAGCCCCGAGCCCGGACACCCCGAGCTCCAGACATCCCCGAGCCCGGCCAGCCCCGCTGGATTTCCCGCTGGATTTCCCGCTGGATTTCCCGCTGGATCTCCCGACGGATCGGGCTCAGCAGAGCCGGGCCAGCTCCCCAGCCCAGCCCCCCCCTCCCCGCACCGCTCACCCCAAAATCGGGAAATCGAGTGAAATGCCCAGGAATCGCCGCCACCTCCCGTCCCTCACCTTGTTCTTGAAGTAGGGGTAGTTGTCCATGATCCACTGGTAGATGTCGGACAGCAGCAGCTTCTTCTCGGGGGACGAGAGGATGGCGGTGGAGATGAGGGCGATGTAGGACTGGGCCGGTTTGTCGCCGGGCTCCGCTGGGGCTCGGGGGGCTCCCGGGGGGCTCCGGCCGGGGGGCTCCGGGCTGGCGCCGTGCCCCCGGCCCGACAGCAGGTACTCGATGCTGAAGGAGGCTCCGGGCGGGCGGCGGGGCGCAGCTGCTGTGTCCCCACCGCTGTCCCCACCCGTGTCCCCCATGGTGCAGGTGCTGCCGGCAAGTGCCGGCGCTCATGGCCCGGTAATTAGTGCAGATTACAGGGTTTGCTAATTGTGTTTTCACAAACGCGCTGCCCCCAAAGCGCGCTGTTTATCTGGCAAAGCCCCGGCTTTGACGGGATTTGGGCCCTTAAGCCTCATAAATAAAATGATTAATCCGCTGGAGGTGGAGGAATTCGGAGTGGCACCGAGGAGGTGCCCATGGGGAAGGGGCCGGGGGGTGCCCGGGGGTCCAGCTGCCCCCCAAAACTGGGGGAGAACCTGGAGGGGCTGGGGGTTGCCCCAGAAGCCTCCAGGCTCCGTTTGGGGTGATCCTGGAGACCCTGGGATGTCCGAGGAAATCCTGGGATTGGCCCAGGACCCTCCTGCCAGGCACGAAAACCCCCAGGTGTCATTTTGGGGTGAGCTGGGAGTGATGCTGGGGACCCTCAGGAGCCTGGGGGAGATCCTGGGGAAACTCCTGCTGACCCCAGGAAGGCTGGGGAGGCCCTGGGGGAAGATTTTCCCTGGGAAGATCCTGGGGATGTTGGGTGAGATCCTTGGGACCTCCTGGGAGAAGATCCTGGGGAATCCTGAAGAGCCCTGGACACCCTGGGGTGAGAAATCCCAACAAGCCGACACAGAATTAAATGTAAATCTTTCATTTTATTTAACAAACACTATAATTTGAAGAATGTGTACTGAGGGAAAGAAAAATAATTTTCTTTTTTTTTTTTTGTTTGTTTGCTTTGTTTTTTTTTTTTTTTTTTCTCTTCTCTTTACAAAACAAAGAAGAAAAAAAAAACAGGATATAAGAAAAAAAAAATAAAACCAACATATGTACAGGAAGAGCTGGCCAACTCCAACAGAAAGCATTAAAACAAGCATGGTGTTTCCAAACAGTTGCTTGGCCTGGAAAATTTAAAAGCAATTAAATTAGAATAAAAATATTAGGAAAACAACTGGACTCTAAAGCTACTGTGCAGCCAGGGCCGCAAGCACAGAACTTTGTACAGTAAAATTAATTTGGGAGCTCTACCCGGGTTTTTGTCAGTTGTTTTCATCCCCCTTTTCCCACCCCCACCCCCGTTTCAACCTGAAAACATATTGCTTACAGCCAGGGAAGAGAAGGAAAAGCAAAGCCTGGGGCCAAGGTGTCCCTGCGGGGACCAGGAGCTGCTCCGGGTCCCCCGGCAGACCCAGGGAAAGGGGGGCTGGACCCCCACCCCCTGACATTCCAGGCCAAACCCAGCCAGGCAGGAGGGCAGAATCCCCCTCCCACAGGGGCTCAGGGACCCCCACCCCGTTTGGGAGATGGGGGTGTGGGAGAGGAGCCCCCCAAGCTGGCAGGGGACCCCTCCTCACTGCGGAGAGGGGTCTTGGCTTTTGGGCAAGTGGCCAACGAGGATTTAGGGCAGCTCTGGCCGGACCTCGGGGGCTTTTCCCTCCAGGTGGGATTGGCCACGCGTGGAATTTTCTGGAGTGAGGGGGGAAGTGCTGGGAAAGGCACCAAGACCCCCCCCTCTCTGTGCCCCCCTGGCTGCTGGGGTGAGGGATGGAGGGTTTGGGGTGCCCAGAGCAGAGGAAGGATGGAGGGTTTGGGGTACCCTGAGGGGAGGGATAAAGGATGGAAGGTTTGGGGTACCCAGAGCAGGGATAAAGGAAGGATAAAAGGTTTGGGGTACCCTAAGGGGAGGGATAAAGGAAGGATAAAAGGTTTGGGGTACCCTAAGGGGAGGGATAAAGGAAGGATAAAAGGTTTGGGGTACTCTGAGGGGAAGGATAAAGGAAGAAAAAAAGGTTTGGGGTACCTGAAGGGAGGGATAAAGGGAGCATGGAGGGTTTGGGGTCTGGCAGTGCCCAGCAACACCAAGACCCTCGGGGGTCTCAGGCCAGCACCGGGCACAGGACATGCCCCCTGCCCCTCACCCAGCTCCCTCCCGGGGTTATCCTGAGCTCCAGGGGGAAAAGCCAGCGAGGTCCAGAGCAAACCAGAGCCAGTGGGAACAGCAGAGGCCGGGACAGAAACTCTCCAAGACAAAGTGAAAAAGGTGACGCTTCGCAAACTCAAAAGCAACAACGTTTTGCCACCAAAGAGCACAGGAGGAGCTTTGGCTCTGGGGCCAAAGGCTGGGACAGAGAAGTGGAGGGGCCGGAGCGCCCGGGCCCCGCCCTCGCACCGCCCGGACGGGCTCGGGACTCAAAGAAACCTGAATTGGAGTTACCGAGGTAGTTGGCTAAAAACTGAGATTCCCCCACCCGGCATTTTCTGGAAGGACCCCCCTGCCCTGCTCCTGCTCATGGTGCCAGGTGTGGGGGTGGCCTGCAGGTCACTGTCCCCATCCCCAGGTCAGTGGGGGTGTCATATAATCTATTAAAGAGATTCTTTATCTTCAAGCACTCGCAAAGGTTGCAGCGGTTTTTATGTGTTTTTGCCAGTTTTTGGTTTTGTTTTGGTGAGGGTTTATCTCGGGGGTGGGTGGGGCGGGGAGGAAAAGGAGCGAGGAAAGGACAGAGAGAGAAAGAGAGAGAGGCCGCCGCCTCCAGAACCAACCTCAACGAAAAGGGAATGCGCAGCCCTTGTCAGTCTTCAAAAACACCAAAGTTATTGCACTTCAAAAATACAACAGATCTGTGGTTCGAGCCCTCCCCTCCCACCCCCCAACCCCCCCATGGCTTCTGCTCAACTAAAACGAGTCACTACTGCACAAATCTCTACACTTCCCTTGGGATTAGGTTAAAATTCCAAACGTGTCTCTTTACATGAGGTGCAGAGCTGCTGGAGCTCTGAGCTAGAACAGTGCCACTTCCAAGCGGACATCTCACCCCATGCCCCCAGTCCCACCCCTAGAAACCCCCCCTCTATCCTCTCTGGGTTATACAACCCCCCCCAGAGCCCTCCCCGCTCCCCCCTCCCGCCCCGCCCCGGACTCACACGTCCAGCAAAACCTTTAGATTAATTAAGGAATGGTTAATTAACAAGAGGATCGAACTGCACACGGCTTTGGAGATGCAAGGGTGGGTGTCCTGGAGGTGTGCAGGGGAGCTCCCCCGATCCCGGGATCCAGGTGAGGGAGGATCCTGCCTGGCTTAAGACACTTTCTTTACTTCAGGCTCCAGTTCAGGGTCAGGCTCTGAGTGGGGTCGTTTTCCAACCAAGAAGCAGCTCAATGGTTTTTGTTTTTGTGGTGGTTTTTTGTTTTTTTTTTTTTTTTTTTTTGGTTTGTTTTTTTTTTTTTTTTTTTTTGGTTTGTTTTTTTTTTTTTTTTTTTTTTCTTTTCTTTTTTTTTCTCTCGTTTTAATGAGTAATTTGGAATAGGAAAGTCACAGGAGATGAGGGAGGGAGGGAGATGAGGTGGGAGAGGACGTTCTCCCCCTCCTCCAGTTTAATAAGCACCAGAGTATTCAAGTCTGTCCGTTGGGAATTCCGAGCCGTGGCTGCAGTCAGCAGGCAGAGACTAAACCTTTCTCGTAAGAGCAGCGTCGTTTGGGCTGGGGTCCCTCATCATCATCATCCTCCTCCTCATCCTCCTCCTCGTCCTCCTCTGAGGATGAGCTGTCCAGTGTTAAATCCACAACGTCTGCCGGGGCTTTGCCGTTCTCGCCGGTGCCGTTGGGAGTGGCCAGGAGCCCGTTCACCTCCGAGGAACCTGGCACGGGGAGCAGCAGCTGAGACCTCTCCTGTCCAGCTCAGGGAAGGAGCAACACTCCTGGCTGCTCAGCCTGGGCAAGGGAAGGCTCCAGGGAGAGCTCAGAGCCACTTCCAGAGCCTGAAGGAGCTCCAGGAGAGCTGGAGAGGGATTTGGGACAAGGGATGGAGGGACGGGACACAGGGAATGGCTCCCACTGCCACGGGGAATACTGGGGAGAAATTCCTCCTTGTGAGGCTGGGCAGGCCCTGGCACAGGGTGCCCAGAGCAGCTGTGGCTGCCCTGGATCCCTGGCAGTGCCCAAGGCCAGGCTGGACAGGGCTTGGAGCAACCTGGGACAGAGGAAGGTGTCCCTGCCATGGCAGGGGTGGCACTGGATGATCCTGCAGGTCCCTTCCAACCCAAGCCATTGTGGAATTGTGTGATTTCCCCCAGGGAGGCTCACCTAGAACCAGGATTGGACACTGAGGGCTGCAGCTCCGCTCCTTCTCGGCTCGGATGGGGCACCAGGAGCCATCCACCAGGTACTCGATCTCATCTGCATCTTCACATTCTGTCAGGATCTTGGACAGGAGCCTGCAGAGGGGACAGGAGGAGCTGTCACAGCCCTGGCAATCAGCAGGGTGTGTGCAGTGACCCTGCATGCAAAAGGAGCCTGGTGCTGCCTCCTGAGCTGAGAGCCCTTGGAGTCACGGACTTTATTCCCCATAAAACCAGTGCAGGTTCTGACAGTGCAAATCCATCCCAGCCCTTCCCGTCCATGCACCCAAATCATCAACTACCAGCTTAATTAGCTGCAATTAAAGACAGTTTTGCCTTTTCACCCAGTTTCTCAGGCACTGCTTCCAGGCAGGCGGCTGCTGCCCCATCCCATGGGACATTCCCAGGGACATTCCCAGCAAGGCTTCAGCAAAAGGTGAGATCTCCTTTGGCAGTAGGAACTCAGCAATCCAACAAGCAGCACTTCCCTTCCTTCCTAGTTTTATTTCTCACATCTCCACAATAGCCACCAGAACAACACTCCTGCATCAGGAACACCACGAAACCATGAAAATACACCTGGAATGAGGCCCTGATTCCAGAGGAACTGGGGACTTGCTTTATTCCCTGTGTCTCACCGTTAGCCTGGGATGTTTATTTGGAAATACTGCTCTGCCAGGCCTCACTCCCTCCTGGACTTGAGCACTTTCCTTCAGGAGGAAGGAGAACTCCCAGTGGAAAGACTTCCAAGGTCAGGAAAACTTTGTGGCACCCCAGTGGGAGAGTTTCAGCTTTCCCCAGCTCCTGTAGGAATTGTTCCCACAGCCAATCCCATCACCAGCACAGCAACCACCAAGCTGCAGCTCCCAAAAAGCTGACAAGGCCCTGAGGATCCCAGACCTGACCAACCACCTCCCTCCCTGCTCGGGAGCCTCCGGCTCTTTCCTGACTCCCAGCACCCAGCTGAGTGCCAGCTTCCCTCTCTCACTTCCAGGGAATCTGGGAAGGACATCAAACCCAGCAGAACTGGCATCAAACCCAGCCCTGAGCAGGGACAAAAGTCTGCTGAGCCTTCCCCAGGGACATCCTGCTGCTCCTCGTGCAGGACACGGGCATGGCTGACCCGTGTGGGCTGCACAATCCCACCCCTTGCAGCTTCCCCTTCATCTCCCCCTGTCAGAGATCTCCAAGGAACTGGATTTTCCTGTCAGGGTTGGCCAGGGGACAAAGCAAACAGGTTATCTGTGCTGAGGCTGCTCCAGGCTGCCTGGAAAGCCACAGCTCCTGGATCTGCCCAGGGCCCACAAAGGCAGCGACGCTCCAGGAGCCCTCGGTGAGGCTGGGAACAGACTGGTCTGCTCACTTCCCTGTGCCAGGGGAGCTGGAGCCACCCCAAACATCACTCCAAACTCTCCCTGCTCTTGAGGGAACCTGCAGTGGAGGCCAATCACACAGCCAGGAGGGTGGAGATCATTTCCCAGCAGGCAGGAACCACGTGTGCTGTTCCACCAGTCCTTGGCCAGCACCACGAGGATGTCAGTGGTCCCAGTCTACAGAAGGCTCCCAGCATTTGGGAGCACAAAACTGCTTCCAAACTCACCCCAAAAATGCTGCACCACAAGCCTGCTCCCTCCCAGCACATTGCTCTAACACACCAAAACACTGAAACCAGAATATTCTGCACCAGCAGAATAAACTTTCAACAGTTTCAAAGTCAAATTCAACCAAGAGCTGGATGCTGCACCCAGTGGGGAAGGAGAAAAGGTGCAAAACTCACCCATCAATGATGAGCTGGTCGTAGGGGGCAGGTTTGTCACACACAGGGCACATCCATGTGGGCTTTTTCTCATTCATCTGTAGGTAGAAGACGGCATCAAAGCACTGCAGGTGTGCACAGGTCTCGGCCCGGCACGGCACCGACAGACGCATCTTCACCAGCTGTGGGAGCAGAGAGCAGAGCATCAGCCTGGACACCTGGCAAGGAACCCCCAGATTCCCTCAGAAGGAAAAACATTTGTGAGTTTGCAAAGCTGGTCTGAGAGTATGGTTTGGGTTCTTGGCAAAAACCAGACTAAAACAGAGCTGGAGCTCCTTGGTTCTGGATTAAGCTGGGAGAGATGAGGTTCCAGTGCCTGAAGGGGCTCCAGAAGAGCTGGAGAGGGACTGGGGACAAAAGATGGAGGGATGGGACACAGGGAGCTGCTTCCCACTGCCAGAGGGAATATTGGGAAGGAATTCCTGGCTGGGAGGGTGGGGAGGCCCTGGCACAGGGTGCCCAGAGCAGCTGTGGCACCCTGGATTCCTGGAAGTGTCCAAAGCCAGACTGGGGCAGCCTGGGACAGTGGCAGGTGTCCCTGCCATGGCAGGGGGTGGCACTGGATGGCTTTAAGCTCCCTTCCAACCCAAACTCCAGCTCCACGAGGAGCCTGCAGGGTCTCACCGGACAGATGAGGGACACTCGCACCCCGGTGGTGGCGATTTCGCTGTCAGGGTCCAGGCGTAGCTTCTCTTTCACTGCAGGGAGAGCAGAGGACACAACACTTAACAAAACTCAGCCCTTGGCAACGCTGTGCAGCACAGGGGAAGCAGCTCAGCCCAGCCCTGGGGTGTGTATGGATCACTTTCTCTGTCAGGGAGGGAATGAACACGTGGATTCAGCTCCAGCCTGGGCACGGTGGGGTTAATTCCCCCCTGAGCTCTGTGGCAGCAGGATGGGGGGAAAAGTCTCCCCCCAGCACTTCCAGCTCAGAACAAATCCCCCCAAAAGTGAGCAAACAAACAGAGGGAAAACACATCCCATCCTTCTGCCATCAGGTTATCAAGCCTCCTCTCAGAACTGCTGTCACTCCTTGGCCTCTCTGCTGGCCACCTCCTTTATTCCAGAACATTCCACAGGAACCACAAACAGGCCCAGAGGCACCCAGGCAGACAGCTCAGAGCAAGGCAGCCATGCAAAACCAGGCACAGCAGCCATATCCAGCACAGAGCTGGGAAGAATCAGATGTTAGGAAAGGAGGAATCCTGCCCCTGCTGCTGCAGCCTGAAAGGAAAACCCAGAGGAGCAGCAGGGAAATCAAAGAAAGCAGCAGATGGGGGCAGGTCCCACGTGTGCAGGTCCCACACCAAGGTGCAAAAAGCAACAAAAACGAGCTTTGAACTGCTCCCCAAGTCCTGAGGAGGAGCTGCTGCTCCCACTGCTGCCTCTGACACTTCCATCACCGTTTTTCTTTGGAGCAAGTCAACCATTTCTTTTGACCTTTTCAGATCATAACAAGATGTCTCCAGACAATGAGGCTACATGCAGCTCTGCAACACCCAGCTTTAATTAGAGAGTGACTTCTCAGATGTGAAATTCCCAGGAGATTACAAGATTTGGGCTTGTTTTCCTCACATTAGGAGCCTTTTCATCCAAGCTTAATTTTTTATGAAGTTCTTTGTAAGATCTTTCTCTGTGCATCAATTACTGGGAGACCTGGGAAGGAGAATTTTCTGGGATCTCCAGGTCAGGATTTTGGATCCAAAGGCACGATCTGTTCTCAGACAATGTTCCTGTATTAAGTTCCACAGAATTTTATGCAAAGCAAGAGGAGTCAGCAGTGAGATGTGATTGAAGCCAAAGGGCAGCTTCAGTGTCAGGGAATTATTTGCAGAGCAGATCAGAGCTAGAAAAGCAAAGTTGAGGATCTCCTCAGGTTGGCCACTTCTGGATAACCAAGCAGCTTCCAAGCACAAAAACACGAAGGGGCTGAAATAAGACATTGCTCTTATTTGGTTTTATTTAAAGTCACCAAATACAACTGATCCCTGCCCAAAATCCAGGTGTCTGCAGGTTGGATACACCTGGAATCATCACCTGCCCTGGGAACTACCATCCACCTCCAAGACTGGCAGGCTGAGGAAGTTCAGCCTGGAGAAGAGAAGGTTGAGTGGAGACCTCCCAGCAGCTTTCCAGTCCCTGAAAGGGCTCCAGGGATGCTGGAAAGGGGCTCTTCTTTAGGAACTGCAGTGACAGGACAAGGGGGAATGGCTTGAAGAGGGGAAATTTGGGTTAAGATGTGCAGGAGAATTCCTCCCTGTGGGCAGGCCTGGCACAGGTTGCCCAGAGCAGCTGTGGCTGCCCCTGGATCCCTGAAGTGCCCAAAACCAGGATGGACAGGGCTTGGAGCAGCCTGGGACAGTGGGAGGTGTCCTGCCATGGCAGGGGTGGCACTGGATGAGATTTAAGGTCCTTCCAACCCAAACTATGCTGGGATTCCCTGACAGTTTCTTATCCTTGGGAGTTGTTTTCCAGGGTCTGGACAGTTCTAAAGACCATCAGGATCACAGGGTCAGTTCTCCCACGCAGAACGAAACAGTGAGAAGGTTTTGTCCAGCAACAGGAAAAATTGGGAATCTTCCACACTCATGAGCTCCATGTCAGAGTCCACCTTGGAAAAGTAATTTCCCCTCATTTCCAGTAATGTTTTACACGAGCCTCATACCAGGAGGATTTACCTGAGTGGTTTGGCATAAGCATCTCTGGGGACCATCTCTTCTCTGAAGCTCTCAAGGCATATCAAAGTGCTGCTGGTGACATCCCACTGCCACCCCAAGGAGTCCCAGGGACTGGGGCAGCAGGACATTGTCACCAGGATCCCTCGCTCCAGAAATCTCCTTTGGAAATCCCGAGGCTCAGTGCTGCTCATACTGACTCAGCTGAAGGCATGAAGCCCTTGCAGTCACAACGACACCGGCACGACACGACCTGGCCCAAATCCTACATCCAACTACAGAGCTGAGCCACCAGAACCACGGCTTTGGGGTGACCTCCCACGGCTCACACACAGCTCAGCAAGTCTGTTCAGATAAAAAGTGGGGTTTACACAGCTGGAGGGGAGCAGAGGTGTGAAAGGTGGTGTTTATTCCCCAGCAGGATGCACACAGGCCCTTCCTGAGCCACTCACCCAGCGCTTTGCAGAGCTCCGGGTGTTTGATGCCGATGGTTTTCAACCTCTGCAGCAGCTCTGCTGAGGTCATCTGCCGCACCAGGTACAGCCCCACCGAGTAGCTCTGGGGAGAGAGGGAGGAGAGGATGAGGAGGCTGCTCTGCAGGGCTGCCTGGGCAGCTCTGGGGGCTGCCTGGGCTCTCACCTTGCCGTAGTTGCCCCAGGTGACCGTGATGCGGTTGGTGGCCGCGGACAGGTACATGAGGTGGGTGAGGTTGATGGGCCTGCAGGGCCTCTTGGGTTCCACCCCGGGTTTGTTTGAGGGGTAGTAGCCCTAGAACAGCAAGATTAAATACAGATATTTATTTTTTACTCCAAGTGCATCTGTTGATCAGCTCCATTAAATTCCACTCAGCTCCAGATCTCAGGGATGGGGGGAAGGAGCTGAATACAGCACAAAGTAAACAGGATTGATCCTTTATACAGAACAGCTCATTAACAACATGGCTAATCCATTAAAAAATAGTTTTAAACTAAGCAGCACACTTCTATAGCGTGGCATTCATCAGGAAAGCAATTCCCTTCCATACTCCATAAATTTTCCCCCCAGCTTTTCCCCCCCAGTCCCGCAGTCCTCACCGGCACGGAGCAGTAGCTGTGGTTCACCTTGACGGCGATGTTGGGAGGGTACTGATCCTCCTGAGGGGAACTGGTGTCTGTGTAGCAGATTCTGGGCAGAAACAACACATCCCATAATATCCCAACACTCTGCACATCCCCAGCTCCCACAGGCCCCATCCCAATCCCCATCCCAATCCACGCTCCCTCAGCAGAGCCCATCCAGCTGGGACTCTGCTGTTTCTGCTCGAGGTTCAAAAGTGGAGTTTAAGATGCTCCTGTGAGGCCCAAGAACAAAAAGTTCGCTGGAAATTCTCTCTGGAGCCACGAAATCCATGCTGGAACTTGCTGGAACATTCCCTCCTCCCCTGCTCTGCCCCTGATGTTCAATGAGCCCAGCCCAGACCTACCTGAGCACCACCTGAACCGATTTCACACCGGGTTGCAACTCCCTGATAAATGAAAGAACAGAAAACTTCAAATTAATTATGTAAAAAAAATAAATCCCTATCCCCCCAAAAAAATCACCCAAACCAGCTGCCAGACTCAAGAACTTTAGTTGTTCCTATTTTTTTAAATAGAACTTCAAAAAATTACCTCCCAGAACTTTATTTAAATTGTACAATTCCCCCTGCAAATATCAGTGGTCCTGTAATTATTATTTTTTTTCCTGATGCACCAACCTACAGCTTTTCTCTGGGTTTTTAAAACTGTTCAGGTGCCTTCTGGTGATTTGTGAGAATTTATAAAAACTGGGTTTTAAGGTCAGGTTTACCTGACAGTGTTCAAGACTCTCTGTGTTTAATTATTCAGCTGAAGCTGTTCATGCAAACCAAGGGACTGAATATTAAGGCCCCGCTGTGAATATTGCAATTTCCATCAGGGCTATTCCTGACAGGATTTTAACTGGAATCAGGAAAGAAATGGAAGACACAACAAGGATATTTTACCAAGAGGCAAAACAACCAAGATATTCTTTCTCCAGCTCTTTAATTTATGACAAAGAGAAATATTCAAAGGTTTTATGTTGAATTTTTGGAGGAATTCTTCTGCATGAAGGGAGCAGGTCAGCCAAGAGGAAACCTCCCTGCCTGCACTGCCACCTCCGAGGAGAGTCTTTGTTTGACTCAAAAGTTGCATCTGACAGAGGTCAGGGTAAATCCTAATCCCAGATGTTTCCTCAGGCAGCTCCTGCAGCCTCCTCCCCACCAAGGAAGTTCCTTTCAGATGCAAACAGCCTCACACTCTGCCTTTTGAACCTGGCACAGAGCAAAGGCTGCACACACTCACACCAGCAGCTCAGCAGAGAATTTAGGTCATTGATGATTTCATCCCCATTTTCCTGCCCAAACGCACCATTCCAGAGGGAGATTAGAGCAGCACAAGTGAAACTTAAGGACCTGGATGGGGGAATTTGCAGCTCCCACTCCCCCCAAAGCTCTTTGCTGTACACGAGGAGCAGCCTGATGCCCTCAGACAAATCCTGCTCCCTTGCAGAGAACAAAAGCTTCCACAGGCAGGGAACATGGAATGATGGAATTATGCAGCTGCATTTTCTTGAGCTGTTAATACCCAGTGAGGAGTACCTGGAATTTCTGATCAGCTCCACTTGTCTTGGTGTTAATGCAAAAATGCACGGACTTTCCTGGAGCTTCTCATTATTCTGTGGAACTGAGGAGGGAAGAAAAGAGTGTCCATCAAACTGAGAACAGCAGCTCTGAGCACGAGGAGATTGTTATGCTCTGTTTGTCTCCAAGTCTTGTTTTCTCCCACACCCCAGAATTGCAGTTTTCACCTGTTTTGGCAATTCTGCTTTGATTAAAGCTTTGCTCATTTATTGCTCACTGTTCAGTACAACCAGCACAGACTTTGGATTTGATGTTTCTCTTTTTAAAATTATTTTTCCTCCCCTCAAAGAATTCAAGAGCCATCAGCTCACCACATCAGTGGTGTCACAGTGTGACCACATCCTCAAGAAGCCCAAGAGGAGACCTGAGCCTGACACAAAAGCCCAAAACCAACCAGACTGAGCAGGCAGGTTCTGGAAAAGAAAGAAAACAACCCCAGCAACAAAAAAGATTAGCTCAGGTAATAAAAAAGCAACACAAAAAGCAGCTGGAAGAGACAAAACACGACTCCAAACCCCCTGACCTTGAGGGTGGGACAGCAGCTCACCCTCAGAGAGGCTTGAGAGAGCCCAGCATTAATTGGAGCCTTTTGCACACTGGTAATTTTAAGATCAAGTGCATTTAATGTGAGGAAGATGAAGCTTGAGACGTGGGAAACTTTTGTTGCAACCTGTACTTCAACCTAAACACGTTTTATTTTCAGTTTTGTGTCTCCAAGCAAAGTTCAGACCCTGAGCTGCTGAAAGTCACGGGAGGAACACAAAGAGGAAGTGCTAAAAGAGCTTTTTAAAAATGATTTAAAACAGCAAGAATTGGGTGTTTTGCTTTTCCATTGCTTGGTTATTCAAAGCCAACAGGATTTCAGAAGGAGGAAAGTGCACTTTTTTATGAAAAAGAGGAGATGAAGGAAGGATAAAACCTCAGCAGCTCTTGGAAGACCTGGTGACAACTTGAGTCACTCCAGGTGCTTCCCCTTTGGTCCCTTTTCTGCTTTAAAAATGCAAATGGAACTTGCAAAAATAAATTTCAGAAGTAAGAATTAAGATATCTTTGTGGAACTTTTTGTTTCATTCCAGTTTCCGTCCAAATACCTCCTGACAAAAACAACCAGCAGAAAGTAAAGCATTTCATGAGGTATTTTTAGAAGTGATGATTGACAAGGAAAATAACAAAAAAGTAATTTTAATGTTTCAGATTAAAAAACTGCCAATAAACTGAGTCCTGCTGATTGTTCAGCCACACAAAGACAAAGCAAACCTGATTAGGAAAAACGAGAAGCTGCTCATGGTTTATTTTGCATTTCTATCAGCTCACTCTTCCTTTATACAGAAATTAAATTGCTGCTGGAAAAAAAAAAAAGCCCAAAATCTGGGAGGTGCAGCCTGGTCAGGTGTGAGACCTGAACATCTTCTGGTGCCCAGCTGCACAAAAACCTCTGCCAGCAGCAGGGAAATCAGGCAGAAAGCTGCAGGGACCTGGCTGGCCCAGGGGAGGTGTCACCTACCAGGGGCAGAGCTGCATTTAATGAGCCCTGGGCTCTGAGCTGGTGCAGGGGACATTTGATGGCAACCTGGAACTAAACCTGGTAATCCCAGCGAGTGTTTCCAGCCTCTCCTGTCTCTGGATGCTTCCACCTCTTGGAAATTTTGTTTTCCTTCAGAATCCCATGTTGGAATTGCTGACTAAAACACATTTAACACTGAACAAACCATTCCACACGCAATTATCATGTTTGAGCTTGACTCTGTCACCACTCAGCTGTTTTGTCACAGCATTAACGCCTTCAAATGAAGAAGAAATTACATAAAATCTGACTAATTAGACCTTTATCTTTTTGTTTCTGCACAATCAAATCTTTTATCTGTTTTTTCTCCCAAGCCACAACAAATGTATCTTCAGCAAAGCCAGACCAGCTCAAGTTGTAGAATCATTTGGGAGAGAATTCTGACATTACCACATGAATTTATGAGACACTCAGCAGAACTCAACTCTCTGGACATGCTGAATTTGCTACCAGAACATTCTATTTAACATCAGTTAACAACATTCTTTGTTTCTCCAAACTAAAATAATGAAAGATCAGTCTCCACACCCCAGGGAAAATGCTCTTCTTCCAGTTTTACTGGTTAGCCCTCAAAACACACAGCACCACACACAAATAACTGTGACAAGCACAAAAAAAAAGTCAAAAATACAGTTTGAAGTGTTGCCACCCTCTTTTATCCACAGGATGCTTCAGGTCAGGGATTTTAGTGCTGAAAACCAGCCTTAGTGTAGAATGTGGCTCCATAATCCACAGGAAACAAACAAGCTGGGATTCCAAGTCACATCCCAAAGTGACACATTCCAGGTCTGAGGAAAATCACAGGATCTGCATTGGGAAGGACCTGAAGAATCATCCCATTCCATCCCACAGGCAGGGACACCTTCCACTGTCCCAGGGTGCTCCAACCTGGCCTTGGACACCTCCAGGGCAGCCACAGCTTCTCCTTCCCTGTGCCAGGGCCTCCTCATCCTCAGAGGGAAGAACTGCTCCCCAATGTCCCATCTAAATCTCTCCTCTTTCAGTTTGAAACCATTCCCCCTTTCCCAGCACTCTCCCTCTCTGTAAAAAGCTGCTCTCCCTCTTTTGTCAGGCACCTTTTAGCAATGGCAAGCCCAGAGGTAAATATTCCTCTGTAAATCCTGAGCATGGGAGGAAAGAGAGGGGGGAAGAGACAGGGGTGGGGAAGAGAGGGAGAGAAGGGGGGAAAGAGAGGGAGAGAAAGGGGGAAAGAGAGGGAGAGAGAAGGGGGAAAAGAGAGGGAGAAGGGGGGAGGACAAGAAAGAGAGAAGCAGGAAAAAGAGAGAGAGAAGGGGGGGAAAAGAGAGAGAGAGAGGGGGGGGAAAGAGAGGGAGAGAGAAGGGGGAAAAGAGAGGGAGAAGGGGGGAGGACAAGAAAGAGAGAAGCAGGAAAAAGAGAGAGAGAAGGGGGGGAAAAGAGAGAGAGAGAGGGGGGGGAAAGAGAGGGAGAGAGAAGGGGGAAAAGAGAGGGAGAAGGGGGGAGGACAAGAAAGAGAGAAGCAGGAAAAAGAGAGAGAGAAGGGGGGGAAAAGAGAGAGAGAGAGGGGGGGGAAAGAGAGGGAGAGAGAAGGGGGAAAAGAGAGGGAGAAGGGGGGAGGACAAGAAAGAGAGAAGCAGGAAAAAGAGAGACAGAAGGGGTGGAGAGAGAGAAGGGGGGGAAAAGAGAGAGAGAGAGAGAAAAGAGAAAGAGGGGAAAAGAGAGAGGGGGAGAAAAAAGACAAGGGGAGGATGGAAGAGAGAGATCTCACCACCCCAACCATCAACCTCTCCTGCCACACAACTTTAGAAACTCCTTCAAAACACCACTCACTTACCAACACCCCCCTCCCAGCCCCGAATCTCACCTAGCTCTGTGGGCTTCAACAGCTCGTCCAGCGTGGTATAAAAGGGCAGCTTGACCAAGCGAACCTCGGGCTTGGCCACTTTGGGGGGCAACCTGCCCAGTCCGTTCAGGTATTTGCCGTAGAGGGCAGGGTAGTCGATGCTGGCGGCGGGCAGCGTGCGGGGCACGGCGCTGCCGCGCTCGTAGGACGAGGAGTGCAGGGCCAGGCCCTCGGCGCGCGCCGGCGCCGGAGCCACCTCCGAGCCCTTCTTGTTGTAGCGAGTCTCGTAGAGCTCCTTGATCTTCTTGAACACCTCGGGGCTGCAGTCAAACTGGACCAGCTGCAAAGCTCGGGTCACTAGTTCGTGTTTTAGTCCGCTTTTACTCCTGCCAACAAAACCCAGCAACATCTGAAGATCTGAGACTCGGAAACTCATCACCATGTTCTGGGGGATAAAAAATTAAAAGATGTTCTCATAGTTATAGAAGGCAAAGGTTTAGTTGTCACTTTATAACTACAAGGCAAGATATTAAAGATTTCCCCTCAAAGAAAGACCCCAAACCCGCTGCTGTCACCTGATTTTGGTTCCCATTTCTTGTCTGAGCAGAGATCACCCACTGAAATATCACCTGAAGGACAAAGCCACCAGCACAGTCAGCAAACGACTCAAAAATCACTTGGACGGATGCTGAGCATCCCCAAGACAGCTCAGCTGGAAGCAGAGCCACCTCAAAGGTCTAAACCAAGAGGCCTCACTTGTGGAAGAGCTCATGAACTCCTTCAGAGCCTGAGGCATCCAGAATTCCCAGAGAAACATGGAAAACTTCATCCCAAACGGTGCCAGTGCAAGGCACAGGAAGAAAATCCAAACGAGTTAGGTGAGGCTGAGGTGAACTGGGGCCACCAATCCTGGATTTCTGGATGGGAAAACCCCTCCAGAATCCTCCCCACATCCACAGGGGATGTTTTCACAAAAACACATATTTTAGAGCATGGAAGGATACTGAGATTACTGAAGAGAGCAGTGTGTTCCCAGGAGAACAATGCCAAGCACTTCCCTGTGATCCCAGCCAGGAGCTGCCTTGGAGTCACACTGCAATTATCAATTTCAGTGTCTGATAAGCAGCAAAACCCAGCTCAGGCTTCCAAAATTCCCTCTCTGTGGCAGCTCAGGCCTGTAACTGTCAGCAGAGTCAAAGGCCACAAGGCAACTTCCCATCAAAAACCAGGAATTCTTCCTGTTGAACCCACAGCTCCAGGTTGGCATTTCAATTCCCCAAACACCAAAGAGCCTTAAAATGGCAAAAAAAGCAGCTTATAAAGTACAGGGGTTGGAAAATTCAAGCTGCCCTGGAAATAAACTTGGTAGATATCCACACATATTCACTCCACATCCTTCCTGGTTTGTGGGGCATAGGGAAATTCGAGAAGAAACCCCCCAAAAAAATCCAGCAGCAAAGATCCAGCAGATCTTCCCCAACCTCTACCCCACTCTTGAATTAATAATTAAAAAGAAAGCATAAAAGATAATCTAACAATCTTATCATTTCCTGGAATAAACCAGCTACAGATATTTTTTTTTGTTTTTAATTAAGGAATCTACAACTGTTTCCAGAAACATTTCACAGCCACTTTCGGATGTGTGGGAATTTCATGAGAGAGAAAATGCCATTTGATTTTCTCCTTTTCCCTTGCATATGTCATTTAATCTGAAAACCCAAAAGCTGTTATGTCACTGTCTGCAGTTAGAACTTCTGGGAGTCGTGATGAGTCCCAAAATATCCCTGATGAGGGAAAAAAAAAAAAGGACTGATGACTAAAGAGGAGAGAAAAGATGTTTAACTGCTAGAAAGTCAGAATTTCAGAGCCCTGGATTCATGGTGCTGCTCCTCCAGACAGCACCTGTGAAATCCTGGAGAAATCTACTTTGTGCCTCAGTTTTCTTCAACTCAAGAACAGAATCAGGATCATTAAGGTTGGAAAAGCCCTCCAAAATCATCAAGTCTGATGAAATCCCACCAGGATCATTAAAGCGTGTTAGGAAATGGAGAGAGTGTTGCTGTCCCCGAGGGATTTGAGGATAAAAGGGGTATTTGGAAAGCTAAATTCATCAAGACACAGCAGCAGGGCCATCCCAGGAGCACAGGAATTCCTCCTGAGGGAATTGCTCCTGGAGCACCTCACCCAGGATTCCTGGCCTGGAAAGCGGAGCTGGAGCCCAGAGTTTCCCTTTAGAAGGAATTCAGGCCCAGCAGGACGATGAGATCCGAGCACCACCACAACAAGAAACCCCAGACAAAGCGAACCGAGGGCTCCAGCTGCCCCGTGCGAGCAGGGAGAGCACATGGACCGCCGGGATTGCCGGCGCTGCCGGCCGTTCCTCCTCTCGGGAACCCTCGCGTGGGACGGCTCAGAGCCCACCAAAGCCCCCCACGGTGCCCGGGAAGCGCGCTGCCCGCTCCGGAGCCGCAGGGAAAGGGCAGAGCCCCCCAAAAACAGCCTCTCCCGCTGGGATGGCTGCGGCCATCCAGCCCCATCCCGGCCGAGGGGAACGCTTCCCGGGGAACGCTTCCTTGGGAACACTTCCAGGGAACGCTCCCCGGCCGCTGCCGTTGCTCCTTAACCGCCCCCAGCAGCGGCTGCCACCGGAGGCTCCCACAGAACCGGGATCCCGAGGGGAACGGGAAAAGCTCCCGGGGCTTCCCAAGGCACAAACCGCCTTGGAAACGCAACTCCGAGCATGGATTCGCTTCACCCCATCCCAGCGGGGCCCTGCGGCCGCTCCTGCCCCCGGCAGTGCCCGTCCCGCCGGCTCCGCGACCCCCGCCCGCCGGACAGCTCCGCACCGAGCCGCTCCTCCCGGGACCGGGCAGCGGCACCGGGCCGGGGGGCAGCACCAGCGATCCCTAAGCCCGGGAATTAGCGGGGGAATCCCGCCGCGGGGGCAGCCCCGAGGAGAGCGGGCAGCACCGCGGGTCGGCCCGGCCCGGTTCGGCCCCGGGAGGTCCGGCGGGGGCTGCGGCCCTGAGGCCGGGGCGGGGCAGTCTCTGAGGTAAAAAGGCGAGGGGGAGGCCCCGGAGCGCCGCCCCCGCGGCTCGCAGCGCCGCCCTCCCGCCGTCCCCTCGCGCCGGGAGCCGCCCGGTGCCGGCCGGGCCCCGCGGGCGGGGCGGCGGCGCCGCTTTCCCTCACCTTCGCCTCCACCAGCTCCGCCGCCATCTTGGGCCTCCAGCGTCCACCGCGCCGGGCGCCGCCGCCGCCGGGTCACGTGACGCCCTCGCGCCGGGGGTGGAGGGCGGGGCCGCGCAGCGAGCGCCGCCCAATCGGCGCGCTCGCCCCTCCCTCCCCCGGCCGCGCCCTCCGGGCCACGCCCCGCCAGGCCACGCCTCCCCCGGGAGTCTTAAAGGGGCCGCGCTCCGCTAAACCGGGGGCGCGCCGGGGGAAATGGCGGCGGGAGCGGGGATGGGAGCGGTGGGGGCGGGGATGGAGGCGGCCCCGCGGGCACTGCGGGAGGGGGAGGGGGTGGGCAGGAGGTGGGGGGCTGCCCCCAAGATGGCGGCAGGCGGGTGCCCCGGGGCAGGGCAGGGCCCGGTGGGCTCGAACCGAGGCTCCGCCGCCGGCCCCGGTGATGGGGGGAAGGGTCTCGGTGCCACGGTTCCCGGGGAAGGGAGAGCAGGGCAGGGGGGATCTCCTGGCCAAAATTTGCAGCGTGGCAGGGACGTCCCAGAGACCCCCGAGTGTTCCTTGTGCAGTCAGTGTTTGTGCCCCTTCTGCAACATCACCCACGGCTAATTACAAATACCTCCCGAGAATAATAATAAATATAGTAATAATTGTAAATAATAATAATAAATATCTTGTAGTTTGCATCTTTCTCCCGACAGGCAGCTCCGAAGTCTGCTCTGGGAGCAGGGACAGGAGCCAGGGAACGGCTGGAGCTGGGCCAGGGATTTGGGATGGATCCCAGGAAAGGCTCTGCCCCCCAGGGTGGTGGGCACTGCCCGGGCTCCCCTGGGAATGGGCACATTCCCGACCTGCCAGAGCTCCGGGAGCCTTTGGAAAACCCTCTGGGACAGGTGGGATTGTTGGGGTGTCTGTGCAGGGCCAGACATCCCAACCCTGGATGATTTCAGGGTAACTCCAGTGTTTGGGGTGAAACGCTGCGCTGGGTGAGGTTTTCCAGCGCTTTCCTCTCCTTGCCCTGGACCCCACATACTAATTAAACAAAAAGGCAATTAACAGTTTCTCGGGAAGAGCAGGATGTAAATCAGGTTTCCCAGTTTTCCCTTCTAGGCCGGCAAAAGCCACGGCCGGTGCTAAAACTCCAGCAGATCGCTGTGGGAACCCCCAAGGCCGATCATTCCTGGGATGAATTCTCTCCCGGCTGGGAGAGCCGGGCACAAAGCCGTGCTGGTGTCACCCCACGGCCACCCCGCCTGTCCCTGCCTCGCACGACAGCCGGGGCTGTGCTGGGAAGGTGGGAGCTGCCAGGGACACAACTGGGATGGTCCGGCCTGGAGAGGCTTTGGGGTGAGCTCATGGCGGCCGTCGGGACCTGAAGGGACCCCATGAAAAACAGAGAGAGATTTGGGATAAGGGATGGAGGGACAGGAGGCAGGGAATGGCTTCCCCCTGGCCGTGCCCAAGGCCAGGCTGGAGCAGCCTGGGATGATGGGAGGCGTCCCTTCCGCGGCACTGGATGTTCCTCCATGTCCCGAACCACTCACTCGGTGATTTCTGCCAGCTCTAGGGCGCACAGGGGCGGCTCGGAGCCCGGGCCCCGCGGTTCCGTGACCCCGGGCCCGGCGGGGCTCCGGCCGGTGCTGCCCCCGCGCTCCTCCCCGCCAGCAGGGGGCGCTGCAGCCCGGCCCGCCCGGAGCATGCGCACTGCGGCCACCCTGCGGGACCGGGGCGGGGCGCGCCGGACCCACCGGTACCAGGGGCCGCTGCCTGACACCGGGCTCGGCCCTACCGCCTTCTCCTAGTGGCCGAGCCCCCGTGCTCGGCTGCCGCTCGGTGATACCGCTCCGAGGGCGGCCTCACCGACGCCGGTGCACCGGGTCTGTTCTTACACCGGCAGCTGGAGGGGTGGACTTTCAACCCGCCGCAGCCCGGGCGGGGCGGGGCTGTCGCTGCCGGTCGCTGTTCCCCCGGTGTCGCCTCGCTGCAGTGCCGGTGCAGCCGCGGTGACACCCACGTGGTGCCGGCGAGGCGGAACAGCCTCCCGACCATAGAGTCCGCGGGATAGAGCGGCGCGGCCGCGCACGCGCTCTGAGCAGCCCCCGCCCCTCAACGCCACCGCCCTATAAGAGGGCGCCGGCTGACGTCAGCGCTCTCTTCCGCCCGCTCTGCGCTCGCCAGCGAGACAGGGCCGAGCCGCCGCCATTGCCGTGACCCCCCCGCCCCGCAGCATCCGCCGCCATCCGCCACCATGGTGAGCCCCCGCCGCCCGCCGCCGCTCCCTGCGGGATGAGCGGCCATCGCGCTTCCCCTATCGCCGGGGATGGCGGCTCCGCGAGCGCCGCGGGTCCCACGGCGGCGGCTGCGGCCTGTGCTGCCGGGCTGGGCCGCGGCTGCGGGGAGAGGGTGGGGCGGCGAGAGGGGGCCGGTTCGGGCGGCCGTGACACCCCCGGAGCCGGCAGGAGCCGTCGGTGCCGGTGCTGCCGTTGCCCCGCGGGCTCGGGAGCGGCCGCGCTGATGTGGCAGCGCGGTGGTGGCGCCGGGGACGGGGCGCTGCGGTGCCGGTCGTGCCTTATGTAACGCTGCGGTCTGGGCTGTCACTGGCACCGGCACCGGCCCGGGCTCGGTTTTTGAGGGCGTTTTGCGCCCTGCACCCGCTGACACCGCGGCTTGAGGGACACGGGGCCGGGAGGGGTTGGCGCTGCAGCCCCGCTGCGGTGCCCTTGCTGCGGGTTGTGTTGTCACCCAGGCAGAGGTGGTGTCACCGTGATTATGGCAGGTATTTATGGGAGGTTCGGCTTCCTTGGGATTGCTAAAGCTGTTTTTATACACGCTGAGTCCCCCTTCTCCCCTCCCTCAAGGTGAACTTCACAGTAGACCAGATACGGGCCATCATGGACAAAAAGGCCAACATCAGGAACATGTCCGTGATCGCCCACGTGGACCACGGCAAGTCCACGCTGACGGATTCCCTGGTGTGCAAGGCCGGGATCATCGCCTCGGCGCGGGCCGGTGAGACCCGCTTCACCGACACCCGCAAGGACGAGCAGGAACGGTGCATCACCATCAAATCCACGTGAGTGCCCTCCCTCAGCCTCCTGCTGCTCCCTGGGCTGAGCTCTGCGGGATTTGGCTCCTCCAGGAGGTGGGAGAAAATGCTGTTGGGCTTTGGTCTAGTCTAGAAGCTCATCTCCTGCTCTTGAGGGTCTTGAATGGTGGAGCAAGTGTTGATTGCTCAGTCGTTGAGCAGTTCTTTGCTGGGCACTGGGGAAGCAGGAGCTTCATCCTCCCAGCTGAGCACCAGGATTGTTGGATGTCCTGTGGATGTGGTGTGGAGACTCCTGGGAGCATTTCTGGGGGTCTTCCTGGTGGGTGTGCTGCCACAGGGAGTGTGAGGACTCTGAGGGGCTTGAAAAGGGGTGGAGAACATGGTTTGGATTGGTAGGAAAAGCTTAAATCCACGATTTGGGGATGGAACCCTTTATGGGTGCAGGGAGTTGGAGGAGGTTGGCATTCTGGAGGGTGTTATGGTTTAGGAAGGGCAGGTTGTAGCCTGTGCTCCTGTTATCTCACACACTGACCTCCCTGGAGTACACTTGAGGAAATCCTGGAGCCCAGCATTTAGGTTGGAAAAGCTCTCCAAGGTCACCAGCTCCAACCCAGAGCAGAGCACTGGGTGCCACCTCCAGTGGTGGCAAAACATTTCTAAACTTTGGAGAAGAATAACAGAGATCATAATTTTAATAGTTCCTCTTTCTTTCAGAGCCATTTCTCTGTTTTATGAGCTCTCTGAGAACGACTTGGCCTTCATCAAGCAGAGCAAGGATGGTTCTGGTTTCTTGATCAACCTCATTGACTCCCCTGGGCACGTGGACTTCTCCTCCGAGGTCACTGCAGCTCTGCGAGTCACTGACGGTGCCCTGGTCGTCGTGGACTGTGTCTCTGGTGAGGTTTTCTGCAGCTGGAGAGCATTTTGGGGGGTTTGGAGGTGGGGATAACTCATTCCTAGCTGCTGGTGTGTTTGGCAGGCGTGTGTGTGCAGACAGAGACTGTGCTGCGCCAGGCCATCGCCGAGAGGATCAAGCCTGTGCTGATGATGAACAAGATGGACCGAGCGCTGCTGGAGCTGCAGCTGGAGCCAGAGGAGCTGTACCAGACCTTCCAGCGCATCGTGGAGAACGTCAACGTCATCATCTCCACCTACGGAGAGGGAGAGAGCGGCCCCATGGGCAACATCATGGTGAGGGGGCTCTGAGTGCTGGGATGGAGCAGCTCCCTCCTCAGGGAGAATTCCCTATCCCAAGTGGAGGACGGGGAAGATCTTGAGGGTGCCTGAACTGCCAGGCTTGGGGCTCTTGCTGGCTCCCCTCCCAAATTTCCTGTTCAAGGCCTGAGCAAATAAAGGCTGGGATTGTTGCCCAGAGCAGCTGTAGCTGCCCAGTCCCTCACAGTGTCCAAGGTCAGGCTGGACGGGGCTTGGAGCACCCTGGGATCATGGAAGGTGTTCCTGCCCATGGCAGGGGTGGAATGGGATGGTCTTTAACGTGTCCTTCCCACCTGCTCTGCTGCTGGGTTCCTGGGAAGGGAGCAGGGCTGTGGGTGTCAGGTTCTGAGGAGAAGCTGGAGGTGTCCATGCCTTCCTGATCCTCCTGGGAAGGATGGCAATCCTACCTGCACGAGAACCTGAGCACACACCTGCTGGGAGTGGAGGAAAACCAACCCAGTTCTGTGGTGCAGAGCTGAAATGGTGCCTGTCCCACAGCTCAGAGGTGGTCATGAGACAGAACTGTTCAGACTCTCAGTGTCCTGAAGGCCCATTTTGTACTGGAGTGTTTTGGGATGGGGTGGGCTGGGGGCTGCTCCCCTGACCCAGCTCTGCTGTTCCCTGTCAGATTGACCCGGTGCTCGGGACCGTGGGCTTTGGCTCGGGCCTGCACGGCTGGGCCTTCACCCTGAAGCAGTTTGCTGAGATGTACGTGGCAAAGTTTGCTGCCAAGGGAGATGCCCAGCTCAGCCCGGCCGAGCGTGCCAAGAAAGTTGAGGACATGATGAAGAAGCTGTGGGGAGACAGGTGAGGAGGGAA